CTTCTACCGCGCTGCGCAGCGCTGCACTGGGTAATAAAAAGAATATACAACCGTTAGTTGGCGTCCTACACAGGCATGACGTTTTTACGAACGGGACTTTGCTCTCTTGTTCTATTTATACTCTTTGGAAATATTAAACACGTTAAATATTCTACTACGCGACTGCCCCCGACGCACATCATCGCGTCTGCGTTCAACTCACACAGACCCGACGTGACAACAAATCGGGTCGGGCTGCGTCGGCCGACGCTGTCTGAGTTGGGCTTAAACATCATCATCATATACTAATTTGAAAAGGACCAACAGTTTCAATTTTTGTGACAAGTACCGTCTGAGATGCGTCCACATATGTGGAAGAAATATAGCGTAGCCCCATTCTTTTAGGTGTCTTACCATTATTGACATTTTTTTTGAGATTCTATTTATGTCCATTAAAATGTCATAAAAATAATTATACATTAACACGAATCTACAAAATATTTATTTATTTACTTTGTGAATATAGGCCTTTAGATCGAAGGCACTCAAGGGTGGTGCGTTCAACTTAAATACAATACAATGCGTCACTTAAATATTGTACACTTAATACTAATAAAACATAGTTGATACAAACTTAAAAATAACTAAAATAAAACTGAGAAATTTGGTAGTGAACTTAAAATTAAAAAAATACAATAAAACAATACAATAATATAAAAATACATTTGTGTACACATACACAAATATATCCTTCCTACACAATCAACTAACCCCTTTTTTCAAATTTAATCCACAGGTCAAAATAAAACAAACACATAAAAATGCATAGATACAGTGAAACAAGGTATACAATTTATACTTGAATCAGTAATGCTCCCATCTACTAAAATTACTAAAAATAAGTCACTGCGTGACAAATAAGGAATGCCTACAGTGAAACAAGGTATACAATTCATACTTGAATCAGTAATGCTCCCATCTACTACAATTAATAAAAATAAGTCACTGCGTGACAAATAAGGAATGCCTACATCTATCTCAACAACAGACGTATAATCCAGTTTTTACTATTCTTTACCAGTATCTTACCTGCTATTGCCAACAATATCAACACAATTATTGGTTCAGTTCTTCTACTTAAAAGGTAATTTGTCTTTTTATTTACGAAGATCCTTCTAAAGATCTTCGTTAAAGACGAGCAGTATCCGATATCATGCTTTAGAATAATAATCTTGTAAAGTATATGGTAATACTTTCTGCAGTGTTATTTGTACTGGGCTTCACAGGTTATTTAAAACATTATGATATTCCCCACCCCTGTATTAGAGTGCTTTTTTACTACTGGGAAAAAGTGTAAAGATGTGGTAATGCTCAGCAGCAATCAAACAGAAAAAAAGAGAAAGAGAAACGCATTTAAAATTGAAATTTCATAAGTATACCAAGTTTGCTGAGCCTCGGTGAATGATTGGTTCCTTAGTAAATTGTATTGTTTTTTATGATACAAAGAAACGCTAGCCCGGCCTTCACAGTATCTTAACAGGTCTTTAAATCTGACGCTTAAATCTATACCCGCACATAATACACATCAGATCAGAAGTTATTGTATGTATTAGTTATTGTAATTGAAAAACTAAACCAGGATCCTAAGCTAACCTTGAAACAGAAAACCAAAAGATATTTATTAGGCCACAGGTTTCCAAGAGGCATATATTTATAAGGAACTTGCTTTATTACATTTACATATAATAGAACGATTGTAGCACGACTATACTTCCGTAACCTCACCTTAATGAGTCATAGGCCAGACCGCCATGCACCTAACGTTTCCGTCTGTAAACGTACATGAAAAGAGGCAAAGACTGTTGAATTGAATCGATAATTACAGAACCTATTGAACTAAAAAATATTATTAGAAAATTAGAATGGGAAAAACTGTCTTCGTCAGCGGACGCCCTTTGGGCAGCGCCTAACTGACTAGAAATTTTAGGATTTTCGACCTAGGACTGTATGTTTGTAATGCGATGAAATTTGATATGTTTATTCATAATTCGATCCTTTTAATATATTTTTCCTGACTCCATCACTGATCAGCTGTAGGTCTACAACGAAAATTACACGATCTAAGTTCCTCTTTCGTTGAGGGGCTGCTTGATACATTCATTTTTATTGCACAGTTTCTAGCATTTTGCTTCTATTAGTTTCATACGATTATAGCATGTTATATTCATGCTATTCATGTTAGTAAACTAATTCCTCCATGTTTGTTCAAGCTCAGACATTTTAGAAGTCTTGTAAAATGATAACAGTGCTCCAACAGGAACATACAGGGTATCGTTTAGTTAGTTCCTCTTCTTTCGAGGGCTGTGCTCTATATAGTCGACGTAGGCCTATACGATCATAACATTATTTGTACCCGAGTACGGTTTCTATTATTTCCCTCCTAACGGTTTATTTGCTTGACACGATTATAGCATATTGTGTTCCTATTCAAACACAGAATTTTTATAAGTCTTGTAAAAACAGTGCTCGAACAGGAATATATATCGTTTAGTTCCTCTTCCTTTGAGGGTTGTGCTTAGTCGATACGATCATAACATCATTTGTTCTTATACTTGAGCACCGTTTCTATTATTTTTCTCCTATAGTTTATTTGCTTGATACGATTGTAGCATAAATATGTCCCTATTCAAGGACAGAAATGTTATTCCTGATGATGACATAATTAATGTCGAAATATTGAATCCCGACACGATGGCGTGCATTTCGATACTTGGAGTATGTATTATACTGTCTTAGAAATTTTATAGGTCTTGTAAAATGATATTAACAGTGTTAAAATTATTTTTATTTTATTTCAATTCCACACCAACAAGGAGTACTACAAACCCGCCACTTATACAGGATACATTATGATGTATTTATACAGAGATAAAGTTTTCCTCTTTCGTTGAGGGCTATGTTCACTAGGCCTACATCATAGCATCACTTGTTCTTGTACTTGAGAATCAGTGGCGGTGGCTGATGTCCCCAAGAGAAAAAAAGTGGGTGTGGTCGGGCGTCGTTATTAAAAACCTATCGAAAGTGGCCCGAAAGTATGACTATTTAGGGGTTTCAAAGGCTTATTTAATCGATTTTAGAGTCTATTAATATGTAAAAAATACATGGTTTTTTTCTCCCCGACGAATTGTGGTTTTTCTCCCCGACGGCAGTTTCCTCCTACAGTAGGTTATTTATGTGCCTGATACGATTATAGCATCATGTAATCTTCCTATTCAAACACTGTTATTATAGGTGGTCTCAAACACTGTAGATAAAAATAATGATAACACTGCTCTAACAGGAACATGTGATATTATTGTTTGATTATAGCATCATATGTTTCTATTCGAGCATTATTGTAATTTGATTATTATTATTATTATTATTATTATTATTATTATTATATATATATATGGTATATATATATTATATATATACAGTGTATATATATATATATATATATATATATGGTATATAAGCTGTATGGGAATGACATAATGTCCCATTGGGATTCGAACTGAATGCCTTCCGATTACCGTTCGGATACTCTACCAGCGAGGCAAAGTGGTACACCCTTTGATTTTCCCATTAGGATACGTTTTTTTCCTTAGTATTGTGTAATATTGTAATAATTGTGGGATGATGTGCTTGTCATTGTTGCAGTCTGCCAGCAGTTTCAAAGAACGTTTCTGTTTGTCTGATGGACAAATAAAGAATATGATTACGACTATGACTAACACGCAATAAATAGCCGAACTGTAAATCACATGATAATAACTTGAAACACTTCGACTGACAAAGATTGATATCCGAAATGTTTGCTAATTTGATTTAATAGATACATAGACCTATCAATGTGGCAAAATATAACCATCTCTCCAGTGTTTCTTTTGAGTAAGTGTTTTTACCGACACCGTGGGATATCCAAATCTAATAGGCCTATTTAATAGCAAGAATTGTGATTTGAGTGATGAAAGGGCATATGATAAACCATAACTACGGTATTGTATTAAGCGACTGAGCTAGCACATACACATTAGATGTACTAATAATCGGTGGCATTTAGGGGGTCGTCCTGAAGATGTTGGTGCAAGAGCGCTCGAAAATATAGGCAGTTAGGCCTATCTGACTAAAGGTTAATTTTCTGATGTTTTATAGGCCCGTATACTCGTAGCTACAATACCGTGGGAGCAGAACAAACATTTGAGCTTAGTAAGCAACCTACATGGCTGTAGGCCAATATTAGTCGCTTCATGACCCTCCGGTCGTCTGTGACCCAGACCGCCGCCGCTGTAATGAAATAGGGGAGGAAACAGATCCATACCTTTGCGAACCATAAATTTTCATGAAATATCTTTAGAACGCACACTAGCTACGGCAGAACTGAGCACCCTTGAATTAGATCAATCACTAAAATTAAATATTTAAAATTTATCGATTTCTGGATCAGTCATAACAAATCATTATCCATTCGCAATTGATATGTGCATAATTGTGCAATTATTGATTCAGGCCTCGGGATTTTACACATTACGTAATGTCAACTATTAAACTTATGATGTTTGCTCAATATCAATATTAAATACGGTATAGGCCTAAAGCTACATAAATCCCATGAATATAAATAATTTGAATTGCTTACTTTGTATTTAGGTAAATTCACTAACCTAAAGTAAAAAAACAAAAAATCCTCGACTACAAACGAATGGAATAATTATTCCTGTATGTCTGCCGAAGGATTTTGGTAGTACAACCAGTGGCGTATCTAGAGGGTGAGCGGGGGTGGGGGTTCTGCCAAAAAAATGGTTGTTACCCAGTCGCTTCTCCAGTCACCCTCACCCCTCCCCCCCCCCATTGAAATTGTCCAAAAAATTTAAAAAAAATACGCTCAAGTAGTTCAAAATCACCTCATGTCACCTTATTTTGCGACATAGTTCCCCCAGGGTAATTTCACTGTTCCCCGGTGCCCCTTACTTAATCAGAGTCCCCCACACCAACTTCGTCCCTCCTCAGCTTCCCCATTTACAGATACGCCAATGAGTACATCGTCTTTAAATCCTTAAAACTGACTTTGTTAATGTGACTTATGACCCGTCACTTTTTTTTCTTTATCCCTGAATTGTTACTGATTAATTTTTGTTACATTTGCTTGCATGAACTTGAAAAGGAATGAAATAAATGTTACTTTGAATAGAACCTTGATTCTCTTGAATACGGGTTTGCTAATCAGGCAAGTAAAACGTTGAATTTTGAAATGTCTGAATATAAACATTTCCTGTTCATTGTATTCCCACCGGCAAAATTCACTCCATATCCCCTTCACAAAGAACGATTAAGCGTAAGAGGGCGGTGTACACACTTTTACTTTAACTGCTTGTAACTTAACGCGGTTATTAATAGTTGTCCGTCTCTTAGCAGCAGTGCTACATGTAAAAATGGCCTATAAAATAATTTCTTTTATACCGCCAGTGATAAAACACACCCTTTGTGCTTTGTCTAAAATGAAAAGATGTGTATAAGAGACAGTGTGAGTACTGCATGTAACTTCTAACACACGATTCCCAAACAGGCTTCGAATAAGTAGTCAATCAGTTCATGCAACACAATGTTGATAGGTTATCCACTACTATAATGAAGGTATATCACGGGCTCGAGGCCACCTACAGTAAAATACCAGACATTTTACAATAATAATAATATTCATCTCACTAATAAGTGCTAATTGGAAATATTACCCACAAACTGTTTTTAAAACCTACTTACAATTGTTGTAATGTTTACAGCTTATAGGTTAACATAATCCATGTCAGATTATCCTGACATCTACACGTACGGTATACACTAAAGGCCTATTTATTCCTGGCTTATCAAACTACGGTCACAGACCGTTTTCAACCAACACCAAGCCTTTACCGCACTCAATCACTACCCGAATCACAAAGAGCCAAGGTCTTTTAACTGCAAGTAGTTTACATATCAATGGTGCGTGGCACCTGTACATGCAACAATGGCATAAAATACCATAGCACATAACTTAACGTGACAGTCCTCTAGTAATTTAAACTGTACTTGTTATGCAAATAGACAATAAACACAAGCAAAATTATTCATCTCCATGGTTAATTTGATCTGATCTGATCTGATCAAATCCTTATATTAAGAGGCTACCGTACTAATTATCGTAGTTCGTAATAATGAATTTTAAAGACGAAGTAGCATTACTCCTATCTATAAACAGTACTTGAACTACGACAAGAGCAGATGAAAATACAATGTGAATAAAATCAACAGATTTATTAATTTTTACTACATAACAATATTTAAACTGTCCTTTGTTTGCAAGTGCTTATTTTGTTTTTATCACTTTGATATCTTCTCATATATTTCCAATAATGTGCGACATATAGACAATCTTAAATTGGACAAATACTTTTAAATACAGATTTTTTAATTCATTTCCTAGACATGGGACAAACACAATTTACCTACACTCCCCCATACTAGTCACAAACATTTTCTTTAAAAAGTTAATATACACTACGCCAACTCTCAAATACCCTAAATAATTTTTAACTTGAATTTTAATAGCTTTAAAACACATTTTATTTAAATTATCATTCAATGTAAAAAATGTATTTAAACATGTTTCTAAAATCTATAAAGTGCAATCGGGCATCAATTTTTTGCGAAATTTTATGATGAATTGTTTCTTTCATTTTTACATGGTTTTAACTTCAGATGTGTTATCTCTTAGCAAAATGTTATATTGTAAGCCTTGTTTTTTGTCGAAGGGCCCTCACTCGACAGTGATTAAGTTGGTTTTTTTTTTTGTGTTCCTGTCTCATGTTCTTGTTGTTTTTGCTGTTTCTGTGTTTGTAAATGTTCATGTTTTAAGACAATATGAAATGAAATGAAAAAGTAGGTATAGTTAACGCAATAGATGTCTTTTTATCTCAAAAACATACTCGGATAGGCCAAGATTTTAGTGGTTGAACATAATTAGGTTTCATGAATTACATTATGTGTTTCGGCCCTCTTAAAATCTCTACCATGAATCCTCCTTGATATTTAAGAAAAATATTTGATCAAGTGGTTTATTTGCATTCACCTAAACGTAACACAATTAAACGTCAATTAACTAGGGAAATGTGCCTGGCTTTTACAGCTTTCAAATGAAGTGAACGTAAGTTACCTATTTACAAACGTCAACAGTTTAGGCCTACTAAGCCTGTTCAAACAATATTTGCAAATACAAGAATGCTCATAAGGATGCACAGTGTATTTCATTATATATCCGGAGTTTAGAAGTTGGACTTCCGTTTGCTAACATTCTTTAGTAACATTTGAAAAGACATAATTGGCATCAATATCATTAAGACAATTGCCGGTTTACAGGTGTATGATTACTTAGTTAAAAATAATGTGGAAGATACTAGTTGTGTCAGTCCTAGCTGTGTTGTCATTGAGACAAGGTAGGTTCAAGATGTGGTATAAAACATAATGATTTGCAATAATCAATGCGGGTGTTTGTCATAGTGTCTTGACATTGTCAGTGATGATAATTCCTTAACGAATATTACTGTTGGAACGTCACTCCTAAAGCAGTGGCGGAATTTTCAGAAGAATGGTCCAAACACTCTCCGGCATCAACAAACTGTAATAAATGTAGTGTCATTGGTATCTCTAGATGGTGGAAAATGGCATTCTAAGAATTAAATTTAATTGTGATTTTCTTTCTAATCTGCCATTTTTTGTCCGCTCAAGGCACTGGCCCAAAGCCTCACTGCTGGTCTTGTTACCATAAATTTAAAGCGTCCATCGTTGCCAGTTTTGAACGAACGTGCAGGAAATTTTGTACACATAATCTACAGGTGATTTCCAACAAACATTCATCGCCTTTTTTAAGTTGGACCCCAGGGTTCCCCCTACACCTACAAAACAAAACAGGGGTTTCAGCAGAGAGTGTACATTACTGCCATTACAATTGATAAGGTACGGATGACGCGGTAGGTTAAGGATCTCTTCTAAAGAACTTAAGGTTGTGGGTTCGAATCGCGTCTTGCTATTCATTTTCCCCAATTTTAAGATATTTTGTACAAATGTACATTCTAAATAGTAATTAATTTTTGTACAAATAAACATTCTAATTATTTATAAATGTTATAAATGTCTATGTTATTAGCTCTTTCTTCCAAAAAGCCTTATATAATAACTTACGCCTGTACCGTATTTATGCGTGGAGGAACGCGCGGACCGGTAGTGCAATCTGTCAAAATAACAAAGTTAAATATCTATAAAACGTTAATTATGATATATTTCAGATACAAAAGCAATAACAGTAACTTGCCCAAACAATGTTACATCGAACAACTACGTTGGCATGGAATTCAGCGTTATTGCAGTTAAAACCGACCCCGAAGCCAGTGTGGCCACTGTCACCTGGGACCTACCCATTGTAACTAACAACATTAGCCGTTTCAACGTGACGTCATCGCTGTATAAATCAGGAGACGAAATACCAATTATGACAAATCACGTAATCACATTTACAGCCACAGAGTCTTCAGGAAACACAGATACTTGTTTTTTTTGTGATATCTGTTATCGGTAATTTTCTTATTATTCTTCATAATAAATTTGTACACTTTTTTATTCTGCAAAATATAGGCACATATGCACCGTTGTTATTAAAACAGGTGAAACCGGTCTCCGGGGAGGAACACATTATGATAGGCTCAGGGGCAAGAATTTACACGGGCCCAAATCCCAAGATTTCTTTAAAGCCAGGCTCCGGAGGACTTTTTTTTTTGTTTCACAACTGACTGTTCAAAGACATAAAAAGCATTGATGAAAAATCGCGAGAAGTTATTAATGATAAATTTTTGAATATTGAAAAACTTGGGGAAAAGGGGTGTAACCACCCTTTTCCCTCCCTTTTTCCCCAGTTTTTATATATTCAAAAATCTGTATCTCATTAACCGCTCACGAGTTTTCGTAAAATATGCTTTCTCTGTTTTAGAAAAATCAGTTGTACAATATATTAAAACAGTGTTTCCTCCGTAGCAAGGCTTTAGGTACCTACGATGATTCAGGCACAATGAGGTGCCATGTTAGGGTTCAGGAAAAAAGCTTCAAGTTTATCAGAAAAGATAATAATGATAATAGTAAATTAATAAGTCCATAATAGAATAATAATAATAGCCTAGAAGAACTACAAAGCGATTGAAAATATATAGATATGGATGCTTATCATCTTACAGCTTTTGCAATTCGTTTTTTGTATTTGTGTATTTTTATTGTAGTATGTTCACCAATGGTCCTTTGATCTCATCATTATCTCTGTAGATATTGAGGATCCAATTTGTACCATCGACCCGCCATCGTATATAGGCTCTGCAGAGATGGAGGAACAGAATTCTACAATCAACTACGTCATCACTGTTAGAGACAATGTCCAAGTCAGCAGTATTAAGACAGATTGCAGTTTTATTGATATTGGAAATAGTGGTCAGGAGTATATTGTTGACAGAGCCATAGAAGAAATCGACAGCACAGGAACTTTCCCTATTGGCGAGACTATGGTTCTGTTTTCGGTTGTAGACAATGCGAGTCCGAATGGAAATGAAGGAACCTGTTCATTTGGTGTCACATTAAGCGGTTGGTGTAAACTAAAACATGGGGTTATCAAATTAGATTTTTATACCGCCATGGTATAAAACGATATAATAAGGCTTCACAGAATTATAAAGACTTAAACCAAAACTATTCTTTGTTTGGATCTTGAACAGGCCTACCTAAAGAATTAAAAGAAAGTTCGTTGGTTGAACCATTAATCATCAATGGTTATACAAAGCGTGTTTTAATATCATAAAAACCATTATACCTTAATGGTTTGCCATCATTACAGTATACAAGTCGAATAAAGACATATTGCAATTTTCATATTTATAATACAGTACTTTTTAATCAAACATTTTGGCTTTGATACTTCAGCAAGAGGTATATGAATACTAAACAAACTATTTTTCTTTACAGAATACATGCCGACAACTGAGAGAGCAGTTACAGAAGACAGTTCAGGACACCAAGTTTCAGGCTCAGTAACTGTCAAAGTGCTGACGTTGTTAATGAATTCTTTTGTGAAGCTCTATTATTTAAATTAACACACATCGTACTAATAACGATGGTGGGGCTGAGGTGGTTATATACCCTCATGTGAAAGTCCTTCCCAGGGTCCCCTCTATTTCGAATTTCTGGATCCGCCACTGCTGGCGATCCCCTCAAAGCATTGTACAATCTGGGCGCCCCGACGCTTACGGGCACTCCGGAACTGTTTGACTACCTTTAACTTTACTTCACTCCCTAGGCTCATAATGCGATTTAGTTTATACAGAACATGTTTTGTTATGTCTTGTGAAGAGATATGCCACTTAGAAAAGTGATGAAGTTCACTGTTAATAAAATATTTTTTTTGTTTTAAATTTCGTAGGAGTGATGTATTTGCCTATATTATGAAATTTCTTGACAATTCCCTTGGGGATCGGATTCAATACTAGCTTATAAGCGCAGGGTCAGTGGTCTAGTAGTTACGACACCATGCTAGTTATCTAGAAGGCGTGGGTTCGATTTTTACCCAAATCATTTACGGTATACTTGATGTTTGTGTGTTTTTAGGAAATGAATGTTCACGCTATTCTAATGTGAGATGATAAATATATTCATATTTAGGCTTATTCCTTTTTAGTAAAATGTATTAATTAAAAGATTCTACATATACATTTTACACTAAATTGTCTTCATTTGGCTTCGTTATTACATCATTATTGTTATCATTATTATCATGCTATTAAAATAATGTATGTGGAATAATAATATTTATCATAACAATAAGATATAATAATATAAACCATACAATAAATAGTATGGTATCTATAGTTATTTTATGCTCTTTTAGTAACTTTTAATACAAATTTTTTGTGCAATTCAATGATATTTAGAAAGATGTTCCCTTTGTTACTGTGCCATACTAAAGTCTTTATATACATAGGCCTATTCACTTTGATGTTTCTATTTCAAATTTTTTTTTATAACGTTTGCATTGCTGTGTATGATTGTGCATTATTAAGGGGACACCATTTTAATCCCGAAGGTGTCACCTTAATTGCAATTCGTGTAAAGTATAATAGCTCAGATGCATGAACAGAAAATAAACCCTATTTTAAATATACTGATCGACTTACAAAATTAATTTGTCGGAACTGTAATTCATGGCGGTTTAGGCTTCAGAACGGAGGGTCTAAAATAGAAACGTTAATACTTTACAGATGAAACAATAAAATTTGCTAATAATAGACTTCTAATATAAGGGGGGAAATACTTTAATACGAATACAGGTAGCTTACGGTGCAATTCGAAACATGAATATTAATTTTTTTTTTAAACGACTTCATTTTCAATAACAAATCTCAAAATACTGCAATAAGAAATGTTCCAGGGTGCCGACAGAAGACAAAGAAACTCCTTCTCCCTCGTGAACCTTTACTATTACAATAATAATTATGTTGAAGATTACTATTCCCATTATTATGTAAACTACGGTAAAACAACTTCTATAACATAATTACTAAATGCCAAAACATATTTTAAACTGTCCTTTTTTAACTTAATTTATGGTAGATAGACAAGACGTACATAAGCAAAGTGAATATTCTGGGAAAATATCTTCATGATTGTTCTGATCAAATATTTATTGGGCTACTACATAATAATATTGTAAAATTCGTAATTACAATTTGTAAAGACGAAGTAGCATATTATGTATATACAGTAGTGGGATTTATACATTTTATATATTTATTAATATTTATATACCTGAACTTTGGTCGTGCAGTTGAAAATACAATGTGAGTAAAATCAGAAAAATATTTAAACTGTTTGTATTTTATGTGTGTCTGTGTGTAATGGTTTTGTCTTTTTTCTTTTACGAGTTGTGCTAATTTGTGTATTTAACGAAATATAGGTATAATGGTTCATTCTTATTTAGCGCATAAGCAAGCTCTCAATGCGCTGTACATTAATTAAAATAAAACAAAATATGAATATAATGTTAAATTAATGACTAACTTAATGATTAATTTCAGAGGGCGGCTTAGCTCAGTCGGCTAATCTGGTGGTAGCCATTGTGTGTGCGCTGAACCGTGGAGATCTCTAGGTCCCCGATTCAATTCCCATCGCTGCCTCTCCTTGTGTTTCAGCTAGAGGGCTGAAATACAAGATAAAATAGCGCACCGTCTTTCGGGTGAGACGTTGGTTCCGTGTGCATTTATGGCCCATGTGCACGTTAAAGAACGCAGTACACTCTTCGGAAAAGACCAGGGGATTGTCTCCCGGTGTACTACCCAGTCACCACCAGAAGGACCCCACTGGAAATAAGTCTTCTTTTAGACTTTCGTGGGCTATTCTTGGTGTTTTCACCGTATAAATCAAATCCTTGATGGAAAAGGAAAGTTTTTAGCTTGGTCTTAACAATGTTTTAAGTAACACACTGTCTGATGTCTTTTTATCTCAGAAACACACATAAATAGGCCAAGGTTTTAGTGGTTGAACATACAGTACAACCAATCATTTGGGAAACTCCTATTAAGGGGACTCTTCTATTAAGGGGAAGAGGACATTTTATGAGTGTGCCAAATGGTAAAATAACCCCTATTAAGTGGACAATTAATGTTTTTTATTGTATCACAACTACTACAACAGTCTAAACAATTAAGACCAATTCATTCAACTTTATTATTTTAAGACCTTTTTTAGACCATGCTACATCCATCTAATAGAAAGCTCAAAATTTAAAATAAGAAAAGAATATTTGGTCAATTGCATCATGAAATGATATTGGGAACATATACAATTATTGTTTAAATTACATTTTGGCTGATTTCATATTATAAATTAATTTATTTGCATTACAAATTATTACTATAAATTAGTTCTAATACTGTAACTGATTCGCAGTTACAGTATTAGTTATTAGTATATATAGTTATTAGTATATAT